CTCTCCAAGATGAATCTGTTTGTTTTCCTGGCAGTCCAGGGTACATTCAGTACCCTTCTCCAGCACCACAGCTCAAAAGCATCCACTCTCCTTCTGTCCTGTAAAAACATGACCAAAGCTACCAGGAATTTTAAGTGAAGCCCTACATACAGAGAAATGTCCAGGACTTTCATTCACAGGATCACTGTGAGTTGCCTATTACTCAATGTCACTGAACAACAGACAACAACAACACAGAGAGAAGCCAAAGGAAAGTGAATGGACCATCATAAACAGAAAGAACAGAAAAAGAAACACAGGAAAATGGAAAAAGTTAAATTTGGCCTGACAATAAACACACATAATGTTAAAGGACTAAATGCACCAATTAAGAGAAAAAGAGTAGCAGAATGGATTAAAAAAAAAAAAAAGCCCATAAATGTGTTGACCCTAAGTGACACATCTAAAAAAAGGAAGAAAAAAAATAAGACTCAAAATCAAGGGTTGGAAAAAAAATATATCAAGCAAATGGCAACCTCAAAAATGCAGGAGTGGCAATACTAATCTCTGGTAAAATAGATTTCAGAATGAAAAACACCATCGAAGATAAGGAAGGGCATTACATGCTGATTAAAGGCATAACATATCAAGAAGACATAACCTTGGTCAACATTTATGCACCAAATGATAGACCTGCAAAATACATAAAAAAAATGGTTAACAGAATTGAAGAGAGAAATAGATAACATCACAATAGTGGTAGGAGATTTCAATATACTCCTATCACCAAAGGATAGGTCAACTCAAAAGAAACTCAACAAACATGCAGAAGATCAAAACTATACAATCAACCAACTCAACCTTGTGGATGTATTCAGAGAACTACACCCAACTAAATCTCAATTCACTTTCTTCTCAAGTGCACATGGTATATTCTCCAGAACTGATCATACATTAGGTCACAAAGCAAGCCTCAACAAATTAAAAACATTGAAATAATACAAAGTATTTTCTTAGACCACAG